TGGCGAACTTGTTCTCGACCGCGTCGTTCGTCACGTGCGCGTCGATGGTGCGCCGGTGCGCGTCCTCGTTCTTGCTCCACGCGTTGACGCCGTCCTGGGACTCGAGCTTGTCAGCCAGCGCCAGCTTCGGGTCGTGCATCTTCTTGAGCGCCGCCTCCGCCTGGAGCTTGGCGAGCTCGAGCACCTTGGGCGTCGCCTGCTGGTTGCCCGAGCCAGGCGTCGGCACGCGCGCCTCGCGCAGGACGTCGGCGAAGGTGTGGTCGCCGCATCCCTTGAGCGGCCGCGCCAGCAGCTCGGCGCGCCAGTCGCGGAAGGCGGGCAGCTCCTCGGCGACGGCGGCGAACATGTCGAACTCGGGGTCGAGCAGCCGCGCCGGGTCCGCCACGACCTGCTCCATGCCCGCCTCGACCTGCTCCAGCACCCAGCCCATCTTGTAGAGGGACCAATCGTCGAGCTTGCTGGCGCTGCCGCACAGCCACCTGAGCGCCGGAGAGTCGGCGGCGGAGTGAGCGTCGTCGGGCCAAGAATGGGTAAGGGGGGATAGGGCGCGGGTGGGAGGGGGAGGGGGGGGGGGGGGGAGGGTTCCCGGGAATTCCCCCCCCCCCCCCCCCCCTTCACCCCCCCCCCCTTCACCCTTGGCGGTTAAAACCGGGGGGGGCCAATGGCCCCCCCCCCCCCCCCCCTCCCCCTCACAACCACCCACCCGCCCGCCCGCCCACCCAAACCCGCACCCGCGCGCGCCCGGCACCGCCGCTGCGCGTCATGCTCCGCAGCCGCAGGGTCTGTTGCTCTCTGCCGTGCTCGCGCGGCGGTCCCGCAGGAACCCGCGCCCTTGCCGCCCGGCCGGGGCTGGAGAGGCTCAGAAGCGGGACAGGTGGATGCCGCGCTTCTTGCACACGGCCACCAGCTCAGGCTGCTCCGTGTTGTCCACCCAGAGCTCCTGCACGCGAGGGGAGGTGCGATGAGCATTCGATTGGGCGGGGGAGGGGCGTGTGGCGAGGGGTGGCGTCTCGCGCCTTCAGGCTCGGGGCGGCCCCCTCCTTGAGGGCGGCGGCCAGCGCCTTGCAGCCCTCGTCGCCAATCTCGTTTTCGTTGAGATAGAGCGTCTCGAGCCGCGGGGCTGCCCCGCTCGCGAGGACCTCCGCCAGCTGCGCCGCCTCCGCGTCGCCCCAGCCGAGGTCCTGGTAGAGCAGCGCGGTCGCCTTGCCAAACTGCTCGTTGAAGGCGGCCTCGTACAGCCGCTTCACCAGCGGCTTGTCGTCCTTGCCGTTGGTGAAGCTCTTCTTCTCAAGCTCCGCCGCGAACGCAGACGGCAGCAGCGGAGGGCGCCGGCCGCCGGCCTGGGTGCAGTCGTCGATGAGGCTGTCACAATCGTACTTCACGCCGTCGCGCATCTTGCCGAGGTCGAGCGAGAGGTAGCCAGCCTTTGTCAGGCCAGCCCAGCACTGCTCCGTGAAGCACCAGCCGCGGTGAAAGTACTTGGCCACGTTGGTGCCCTCGGCCTGCTCCTCCGCCTTGTGGCCGTCCGGGAAGGAGGTCAGCCGCAGCACCCAAGTGTGCTTGTGGGAGTAGAGCGTGCCGAGGCAGCCCAAACCCTGCTTGAAGAGCGCGTTCTGCTCCTCGGTGCGCAGGACGCCGTTGGGGGGGTCGGGGTGCTGGTGCAGCGAGCCGAAGTCCCAGAAGACGCCGAGCCGCGTGATCATGCCGTTATTGTCAGTGAGCAGGGCCTTGAGCGCCCTCGCGACGCGGGTGAGGTTGGCTCCGAGCGGGTCGGGGTGGTCCTTGGTCAGCCACGGGTAGGAGAGCGCGGCGACGGGAAGGCTGCCATAGGTGGTCGCCTCGACGAGGTCGGCGAAAGAGAGGAAGGCCTCTTCGGGCAGCGCCTGGCGGTGTGCGAGGACGCCGCCCGCCTCAGCGTGGCGGATGACCCACTGCGCGTCGAGGACGGCGACGGCGCTGCTCGCGAGGACACGCTCCAGGTCGCCGCCGCCGAGCATGCGCCACTGCTTCAGCTTTTTTTCTCTCACGCCGAGATCGGTGGCGGAGGGGAGGGCGGCCGCCGGCTGCGTTGGCGGCGCGGCGGTTTCGGCGAACGTCGGGACGTCGCGGCGGTGGAGGCAGGGCAGCGACTTCGCGAAGCAGGCGCGCATCGACAGCATGAGAGCGAGAGCAAGGAGAGCAAGGATGGAGGGAGTTGTGGCACGCCGAGAAAGCGAACCCGGTGCGCGCGCTTTCTCGAGGTTCTCCAGGTCCCTGTAGGTATATTGTTGGCAAATCAAGACACAGAGCTCACACAGAATCACAGCGGGAGGAAAGCGGCGAGTCGCAATTCCAGGGGTCGTTGTGGCGGGCCACCCTGTCCAGAGAGGCATGGATGCCAATCTGGGGTCTCTCGACCGAGTCTATGAAGCCCTGGCCGCCTCCCGGTGGTGGCAGAGGTTATGGAACCAAGCGACGGAGATGGTGCGGGGGTACGGGTGTTCCAGGAGGTCACGACACGCACCGACCCTTCACGAACCGAAAGGCTGCACCCGGGGGAGGCACAGTAATCCGGCACGTGTTGGGCGCCCCATTCCGTTTGGCGGCTAGGTCGGCTCAGGGCCCCGTCCACTTCCCTCCCACTTGGCGCGTGATGATGAGGAGATGCCACCCAGGCCAGCCAGGGCAAGGGCGGAGGGCGAGAGCGGAGAGCGGAGGGCTGGGCGGAGGCAAGGGCGGGCGGAGGGCGAGGATTTTTTTTGTTTCGTTGGCCGAAGCCTCGTTGGCCGAAGTTGTGTTTATTTATTTAAGGATAAATTTCAGATTACCCGATTTTTGAGATTCGCCTCGCAGATTACCCGCCGAACGATGTTTTCCTGCTTAGCACGATTTCCGTAAAACCAGTTTACCCAGTCTCCCACACCCAATTCATGTTTCAGCTTACCCACTCGCTAAAATTTCTCAGGGCAGATTACCCGGCGACTTGAGCACTTGAGCACTGGATAGGGTCGATTCCGCATGGTACGGGACCCCTCGATCGTCTCGCCCCCTCACTGGTATGTTCATTGGGGGGGTCATTTAGAGAGAGAGATTTTTAGCAATACCAAACAAATCTAACACTCACACGTCATTTGGGGCCTGGAGCCCTGTTCACGCGCGCGCGAGACGTGCAGACAGGGTTGCCAGGTGAGAGCGAATGGCGCGGTTCACGCCTCGCACAACAGAGAGAGAGATGCGCTCTGCATGGTGGGACATAAAAGAGAGCGAGTACTTGGGCGAGTAGGCCGTGCGGTCGACGCTGCCGCGCGCGACTTTGCGCGCGAGGCGGCGCAGCTTGAGAACGGCGGTGGGCGAGAAGCCGCCGCCGAACGTCTCGTGGAGCAGCAGGTTGAAGTTGTTGCGCTTGACAAAGATCGCGTCGTGGTAGAAACCGCGATGCGCCTTGACGTAGCCGTGGCCGGTCTTGTGGGAGAAGGGTTGGCCGGGCTGCCCGCGCGCCTTGCAGCCCATGTTTAGGCGGCGGGCCTTCTCTTCGGTGTTACCAAAGGCGTAGGAGTGGCCAACGGAGGCGGGCGTGCCGCCACTCGAGGCGTTGCCAACGCCCGGCGAGGAGGTCTTGAGGAGGGGCGTCCAGAGCTTGATTTCATTCACTTCATCGCACCCTCCCGGGCCAGCGTGGGGTTCCGCGAGGTCGACCTTGTACCCCTCGTTGTACTGCCGGGTGAGCTCTAGTTTCTCCTTGTCACCGTGCACGACCGGCGCGTTGGCCGGGGCGCGCATCGCGTCCGCCCAGGCGGCGAGGACGCCGTCGTGGGGCCGCCGGTGGTGGGCCTTGTTGTAAAGGTAGTCGCCGAAGAAATCGACTGGCATGCCCCGCTCGAGCGCGACCCGAAGGGTGGGAAGCGCCGCGGAGAGCCAAAGGCCGAGCTTTCGCTGGAGCTCGTCCTGGAGGGTGTCGGAGGAGAGGGCGGTGGCGTACGTACCGTCGACACGGACATCGAAGGCCTTGCCGGCGAAAGGCGTTGAGGCGGAGACGAAGCGTGCGGCTTCGCGGTTGTTGACGGCGCTGTCTCCGAGGGACGGGTTGTTCTTGACGTGCGCATCCCGCGCCTTGACGAGCTCCTGGTGCGCGTACCAGTCCTTGTGATTCTTGATGGCAGCGAGCGCCCGCGGCCGCGGGTACGTGGATTTGCAAGTGCCATTGAGAATCGCGTCGGTAGCTGGAAGGGACTCGGGCTCGGGGAGCGGGACGCTCTTGGGGTAGAACTCAGTCAGGTAGCCGCCGCGGACGGTGTAGTACTTGTTTTTGTCGCGGGCGGTGCGCTTCTCGCACACCTCCTTCCAGTCCGAGAGGGCGGACTCGTAGGTGGCGATAGCTGCGGCGATGGCGGGGTACTTGGATGCACCTCCCTCGTCGTGGGCGAAGTCGGGGTTGTGGGCGACGAGGGTGCGCCAGTTCTTGAGGAGCGACATGGAGAAGTCGCTGTCGGCTCGCGTGAAGGCGGTGTCGATGTTGCACCCGCCCATCTCGGTCGGCAGCTGTGCCTGGAGCCACGCGAGGTCGTTTGTGTTTGTCATTTATGGATTGCGCTCGTACGCTCGAGGTACGAGGAGCGCAAGAGCGCGAAGCGATTTTTGGGCGGCAGGGCTGTTCCAGTTTATCTTGTGTTACGCGCGAGCCTGTGAATAGGCCCCGGAGGCCTCAACCCCCAACTAAAGGGTTGACGCGGGGGGTCTCAACCGTCAACCAGATGGTTGAGGGGGGGCCTCAACCCTCAACCCCTCAACCACCCCTATGGGCAGAGTCCTGTGCTTTGCTCGTGTTCTTTTCTGTGCCGCGCCAGTCCGCGCCCTTCTCGTGCACGGAGCACTTGGAGCACTCCGAGGCGAAAAAGAATTCTTTTTGCAGGGCGCCGGCTGAACTTATGAGTCTGGTCTTCCTTCGGGTGTGGCTGCTCCTGGCGCCCGTCGCGGCCTTCTACTTGCCCGGTGTCGCCCCTCACGAGTACCTCGACAACGAAAAGGTTGAGATCAAGGCGCGCACCGCCGTCGCTCCGCGTCCGCACCACCACCGCCGCCACCACACCGCACTGCAGCCTCGCGCCCGTTGCCGCAGCCGTACGCACACGCCGCACCAGCGCCGGCAACCCAACCGCGAGAGGCCGGCCGCGCGGGCAGTGCACCGCCCGCGCCGCCCGTGGCCGCACGCCGTGCCGCCGACCCGGCGCACACCCCTCCCTCGTGGGCCAGGTCAACAAACTCTCGTCGACAAAGACGCAGCTGCCGTACGACTACTACTCGTTGCCCTTCTGCCGCCCGGCCGAGGTGGTCAACAAGATGGAGAACCTGGGCGAGGTGCTCCACGGCTCCGTCATCAAGAACTCGGCGTACGACATATCGATGGGCAAGATCGAGTTCCGCGTGCTCTGCAAGCGGACTCTCGAGCCTGCAGAGGCGACGCTGCTGCACACGCGGATCCGGCAGGACTACCGCGTGCACATGATCATGGACAACCTGCCCGCCGCCACCAAGATGATCCGCGAGCTCCCCGACGGCCAGACGATTGTCATGTCCGCGCCCGCCCTCTGCCCACACACCTCCGCCGCCACCTCTCCACCACCCCCCGCCCACACACCTCCGCCTCCACCTCTCCACCACCCCTGGCTCCTCCGCAGGTACGACCGCGGCTACCCCCTCGGCTTTGTCGGGTCTGCAGAGCGGCAGGGCTCCGTGCCGGGCGGCGCCTACCTGCACAACCACCTGCGGTTCGAGAGTAGCCGAGAGATCACCCGAGATCACCCGAGATCACCCGAGATCACCCGGGCGGCGCCTACCTGCACAATCACCTACCCACGCACTAGGTTCGTGCTCAAGTACCACAAGGACGCGGCGTTCGACGGCGCGCGGATCGTCGGGTTCGAGGCGTGCAACTACTCCACCGCCACTCCTCCCACACCCGCCCCCAGTCTCCCACTACACGCGGTCTCCCCCTCCTCCCGCGAGGGCCTCCCCCTCCTCCCGCGAGGGCGAGCCACTCTCAGTCGACCACACGCGAGGACACCCCCTCGGGCACATCTCGGGCACATCTCGGGCACATCTCGGGCACATCTCGGGCACATCTCGGGCACATGTCATGCAGGTCGAGCCCCTCTCCGTCAAGCACAAGTACAAGGGCGCCTGGTCCCGACGCCGCCGTCCTCTCCTCGCACCTCCTGCTTGCGCCCCTTCTCGGACCCTTCTCGGACCCCTTCCCCGTGTAGGTCTGACGACGCCTCCCAGCTCCAGCTCCTCACCCTGCCCGTCGGGCACGACTCGCCGCCGCTGCGAGCGGACAGTGAGGGGGGAGCAGCTCACTCTACGCACTGTGCACTCGCAATAGGCCCGACTTGCCGCCGCTGCGAGTGGACCCAAAGGGAAGCGCTGCGGAGCGAGAGGCGGCTTGCGCGTGCGGCGTGAGGCGACAGGGCCGGTGAGCTGAGGAGGGGCGAGATGGCGTGGATAGGTGGTGTACACGTACGACGTTAAGTGGGAGCCGTCGGACGTCAAGTGGGCGAGTCGCTGGGACCTGTACCTGTACATGGGGGACGACCAGATCCACTGGTCCTCTCCCCCGCCCGCCCGCCGCTCCTGAGGAGGAGGAAGGGGGGTGGGTCATACCCTGGCTGCGACTAGGTTTCCCTCACCAGCTCTCGCTCCTACTCGAGAGTTGACCATCAGTGACGAAGAACTGACGACTCCTTAGGTTCTCAATCATCAACTCTCTCGCGATCGTCCTGCTGCTCACCGGCGCGTGATATGTCTCTCCCCATCTCTCCCCATCTCTCCCCATCTCTCCCCATCTCTCCCCATCTCTCCCCATCTCTGGCGCGGGGTGTGAGATGCGCACGCCGGAGGGAGGGAAGGAGCCACGCGCCCGCTCTGAGCAGGCATCGTCGCCATGATCATGATGCGCACGCTGAGGAGGGACGTGTCGCGGCACACTCGCCACACACACAAGGGCGCCCCGCGCAGAGCCGTCAGTCCCTCACTCGCGGATCAGCCGTCGGCTAGGTACAACTCGCCCGAGGACAAGGACGACCTCGCCGAGGCGACGGGCCCATCGCCCGCCCCCCCGGTGGCTCAGTCCTCCGCTCACCGCCGGAGGAGGAGTCGCGTAGGAGTCTGGCTGGAAGCTGGTGCACGCCGACGTCTTCCGGCCGCCGCAGCAGCCGACCCTCCTCTCCGCCTCCAGGACACGTCCACGACATGTCCGAGACATGTCCCGCAGGCCGCCGCAGCAGCCGATCCTCCTCTCCGCCTCTCTCGGCACCGGCATGCAGCTGCTCGCGAGGAGGACATTTCCTAGCCACTTCCTAGCCACTTCCTAGCCACTTCCTATGAACAGGCATGCAGCTCCTCGCGATGGCGGTCGTCTCCATCGGCTGCGCGATGCTCGGGTTCCTCTCCCCCGCCAACCGAGGCGAGACATAGCCGAGACGGCACCCTCCCCCCGCCGACCCTAGGCGTTCTCAACCGCCACGCTCACCGCCACGCCGCTACCAGCCTGCCCTCTGCCCTCTGCCGCACCCTCTGCCGCACCTCCTCCTCCCTTCCCTCGCCCTCCTTGAAGCCCAGCATAGCCCATCCTCGTCACCAGGCGGCCTGCTCCCCTACTCTTCTCTTTGTCTTCTCTTGTTACCACCCCTCCTCCTCATCAGGCGGCCTGCTCACCGCCACGCTGCTCACTTTCATGCTGATGGGCGTGCCGGCGGGCTACTGCGCCTCCCACACCTACAAGGCACTCAAGGGCACCGAGTGGAAGCTGGTCACCGTGCTCACCGCCACCCTCTACCCCGGCGCCATCGCCGCCACCCTGTTCGTGCTCAACTTCTTCATCTGGGGCCAGCACTCCTCGGGCGCCTGACGTGTCCAGGAAGTGTCTAGGAAGTGTCTAGGAAGTGTCTCATAGGCCAGCAGTCCTCGGGCGCCATCCCGTTCGGCACGATGGTGGTGCTGCTCCTCATGTGGTTCGGCGTGTCGGTGCACCCCTCCCCTAGCCGAGATGCGCAGAGATGCGCAGAGATGCGCAGAGATGCGCAGAGATGCGCAGAGATGCGCAGAGATGCGCAGAGAGAAGCCGAGAAGTGGCTCGGCGTGTCGCTCTCCTCCTCGCCGGCGCCCCCCCTCGCGCGGGCCGTTGCCCGAGCCTTCTCGGAGCCTCGCCAGGTGCCACTCGTGTTCGCCGGCGCCTTCTTCGGCTTCAAGGCCCAAAACCAACGGGCCCGCCCGCGCCGCGCACTTCTTCTTCTCTGACTCGCGCGTTTCGTGGCTTAGGCGAAGCTCAAGGACCCGCCCTGCCGCACCAACGAGATCCCGCGCCAGGTGCCCGAGCAGGCGTGGTACATGGTCGGAGCCTTCAACGTGCTCATGGGCGGCATCCTCCCCTTCGGCGCCATCTTCATCGAGCTCTTCTTCATCATGACCTCCGTCTGGCTGCAGGTTTCAGATGTGCAGCCCGGAGCCCCGCCCAGAGCGCGGCCGAGGCGGCTGAGCTGGGGCGGTTGCGCCGCGACTGACCGCGCCCGTGTCCCGCGCGCAGCGCTTCTACTACGTGTTCGGCTTCCTCGCGCTCGTGCTGCTCATCCTCATCATCACCTGCGCCGAGATCTCGATCGTGCTCTGCTACTTCCAGCTCTGCAACGAGGACTACAACTGGTGGTGGCGCGCCTTCCTCACCTCTGGCTCCTCGGGGCTGTACCTGTTTGGCTACTCGATCATGTACTTTCACTCGCAGCTCGAGATCGACGGGTTCGTGCCCACCCTGATGTACTTCACGTACATGGCGGTCTTCTCGACCCTCTTCTTCCTCGTCACGGGTGCGGTCGGCGCCTGCTCGCGCCAACACTGGTTCATTAGTAGTCATTGTGAGCTACGAATGAGTAGGCACGATCGGCTTCTACTCGTGCCAAAAGTTTGTCTGGGCGATCTACGCCGCCATCAAGGTGGACTGAGCTGCAGAGACCGAGGTCGCAGGCGGTGAGAGCGGAGCGTTGGACCCCTCTGAACGCAAGCAAGGCTGGGGCGTGGCGAGGGGACGGCCGATGCGTGGCGCGTGCGCGGCTGGGGCGTGTGCGAGGGACCGGAGACGGACGTGGGCCCAGCGGGGCCCAGAGATTCGGCGACACACCAGCGCCCGTCAAGAGTCCCCGACGCCCAGTGTCATGACCCGGGAATATACACCGTGTGAAGTGCTGCGAAGAGGTCGGTGAAGCGAGAGAGAATAGTTAGGGTGTGTGTCGCGTGTTCTCCTCTCCCCGGGGCGCTGCCAGGCAATTCCAATTTTATGGAAGGCGTCGATTACTCAACGAGCCGTGTACATGCACATGCACACATATGTGCATGCACATGCGCATGCACATGCACGATGCACCGATGCACATGTGCACATGTGCACGCGCGTGACGGACCCGTCGTCAGTGACTGATGTCTCGTCCCAGGGCCCAGGCCTCTCGAGACCGCCCGCGCGCTGCTAGCATGAGGACTCGAGGAGATAGAGATCCCCCCGCGCGCTATACGCCATCGAAAATCGTGTTCGTGTGTACATACCTGGCGACTGTTTCGAATTGTATGCGGTTCCGGTTCCGGAAGATAAGTGTGAGAGAAGGCCAAAGCTAGGCGAGGCCTCAACTACAGCGTGACGGCTCAAGGGCTAACGACGGAGCCCACGTGGGCGGCCCTGAGCCACGGCTACGGCGCATCCCCCTCGTAGTAGTCGTCGTAGTCGTACCCCTCCCCCTCCCCGAAGTCGTCTTCGGTCAGGAGCCCATCCTGCAGCGCATCCTCCAGAGCGTCCTGCGCCCCGGCGCCGTCGGCGCCGCCCCGCCCAAACAGGCCGCCCAACAGGCGCTGCCACACGTAGCGGCGGAACCAGCTCTTGCGCGTGAGTCGGCTGGTCGGCGCGAGCCCCTCTGCACACGGGTCCTCCTCGCCGCCCACGTACCCCTCGATCGTGCTGCCCAGCGCCGTGACTCGCCACGTGTGCTTTGCGCGCCCGCGCTCGGCCTCGCCGCCCGCCCCCGCCTCCACCTCCGCCTCCGCCTCCGCCTCCGCCTCGGTCGCCTCGACCGTCCCTGTTCGCGCGTGCCGCTCCCCCTCCCCCGCCTCCCCCGCCTCCCCCGCCTCCTCGATCTCCAGTGGTCCCGCCCCTGGGGGGCCTCGTCAGAGTCACCTGCCGGGCGGGGCGGGGCGGCTCTTGCTGGTGGGGGGGGGGGGCTAGGCCCCTGGGGTAAGAAAAGGTTAAGGGAGGGGGGAAGGGTTTTTAAGGGGAATGCCCATGGTGGGGGTTACCAGGCGGAGGGGAACGGCTAGGGCGGGTGCAAGGGGACAGGGGGAAAACCTTCTTTGGCCCGTCAAATTAGGTGGTTAGCAACCGGGCCCGGTCACCGCTTTGTGGGGCCCCTCCCACCCTCTGTCCCCGAGGGTGGTGGCCCCTGTCTTCGGTTAAACGGGTTTGTAGCGGATCGTTTTTCCCCTAAGGAGGTGGCCTAAGTGGGGGGGG